TTTCGGCAGGGGAACATTACCGACAATGTTCCCAATCTAAGCTGATAAGCTGGCAATGAGCTGTTTCTACACCAGAGTATTACCTATTTTAAGTATTAACTTTCCAAATGACGTAATTTTCTACCAAATTAATATAAGAAAGGATATGCTTATGCATGTTTTCTATAACGCATATCTAAAATCTACGAAAAAAGTCTTTACATTGTGCGATTTTTGCAGGCTCACTCAAAAGCCGCCATGCGGTTGTTGTTTTGGTATCAGCATTACGATCTTTCACGAAATAGGCCAACAGCTGCCTATAGGTTGCATAGAACTTCCGAATAAACTTTGCTGCCTAGCAAAATAGTATTCTGTACTCGTTGATGAACGTCCGCCGATCGCTAAAGGAACTCCCTCTCATCCCCCTCTGCTTTGAGTCTCGTTTCTCGGGCCCTGACAGTAGCCGCACAGCGGCTAGTATTCTAGGCAGATAGTACTGCCAGTAAAAACACGGCAGATTGGAATGACCACTTCTGGCTCATTAGCAGAGTAGGACGAGTGAGTTCCGCTAGCGATCGGTTAATGCTCATCAATGAGTGTTAATAAATCCCGATCTAAGACGGCAAGACAACGAGCTCGTGGTTCAGTGGTTAGAGTGTTAGATTTCTGATCAACAGGTCTCGGATTCGGGCCTCGTTTGGTGGTGCACCACTTGGGGTTGGATGTGACTGGCCGATGATGACTAATGAGCCAGAAGTTGTCATTTCAGTCTCCCTTGTCTTTGTCGGCAACGTTCGTCTGTCTGAGTAACCGTTTCGCCTTTTCTCTCTATCTCTCTAGAGTCATTCGTCATATCCGCGACTATGGTGCCATCTTTCTGTGTGATGAGCGATTCGCTGCACCAGAGGCCCGTTCTCACCTTCCGGCTTGGATACGAGACTCTGTGCACACTTACGACTCCTTCGGTCCAGCTGTTCGTGATGCCACAGCCTTCTTCCGTAACTGCGAGAAAAAGGTTAATCTGTTTTCCTCTCCAAATTGGTTCCTTGGGGCCG